CTTTTTAATAAGATGAGATCCCACTTGTTGATTGTTTGTGCAAGTTCTGGTGCTACTGAGGTTTTGTTCATAAAATCTTTTCCTAGGCCAATGTCTTCAAGAGTTCTACCTAATTTATCTTCCACCAAGTTTAGTGTTTCTGTTTTAATATTTATATCTTTAATCCACTTTAATTTTAGTTTAGTGCATGGTGAGAGATATATGTCTAGTTTTAATCTTTGGCTGGTTGAAATCCAGTTTTTCCAACACTGTTTGTTAAAGAGGCTATCTTTCCTCCAGTGAGGGTGGTTTCAGGCTGCTCTGATCTTGTGTTTGCACAGTCTTGGCCCTGAGCTCCCTCCTGGTTAGTTACATGGTGACAAACAAGGGGAACTAGAGAATCAGATGACTTTTTATAGACTCACTTGGATGTAATGCATGCAATATCCACTCACATCTCAGAGGCCCACACATGTCATGTGTCCCTTACTAACTGCAAAGGCTCAGTATAGTTATTGCTGTAATAAATACCATATGTCTAGTAAAAAGAGGTCCGGACATTGGTGAATCTCACAATGTTTATTATAACTTTTGTGGTTTTGATAGATCTCTCTGACTATGCAACATTGTCTAACTTTTTTAGTATTCAGAAATTTATGAATTAGTTGAAAATGATGGAACTCATATTTAATGACAATACATTTCACATCATGTATCACTGTGTACTTCACAGGATGTCATGAAAGACTGATCCTGATATTGGGTTCTAATGTCCCATGGGAAGGAGGCAGGCACTATGATGGAGATTAGGCAAATTGCTCTCTGATCATAAATGTTCTCATTTCAAATTATAATATTTGAAATTTGCTTCTGGTACAGACTGGGATTCCCCATCTTTTACAAAGTGACACTCTCTGGTTGGGATGAAAGTTGTGTCCACAGCTTTGCAGTGGATGAAATTCGAGGATGACTCACTGTCTTGGTGGGTGGTGGAGTCCTGAGCAGGAGAGGATGTTGGGGAGGAGCTCCTGGTCTCTGGGTGTATCAGGCTGTCCAGCCTGCACGTACTGAAGCAGTATGTATTGATTCCCAGTGAGATTTTTGGATTGTGAGAAAGTTTCAAGGATTTTAGTGTCTCAAGTCAATTTACCTTGAATTTTTAAGGGCATCTGGGTTACTATTAGCTTAATGGTAGGCACAAAGCAGGGTCTTAATAAATGTCAGTTCCTTCTCATCTCCTACCCAACCATGGCTGGGAAAAGGACATCTATTAAGTGGTAAACTAAAATGACAGTGACTTCAATGAATAAGCAAGCTGTAAATTTGACAAAGTAGATTTTAGGGAAGGATGTAATAATTTAAAGCATAACATTTCAGCCCGGAATGATTTTTTGCATGACAAGGTCTTGCTATGTAGCCAGTTTGGCCTTGAACTCAAGGTAAGCTTCCTGCCTCAGCCTCCAGAGTCCTGGGAATATAGGCCTGTGTCACTACACCTGGAGTTTTTTTTTCTTTTTGCAGAGAGCTACAGTAATTTTTATTCTTAAAATTATCAAGCAATGAGTCATATGTACACAATGTTGACAGATTATATAGTTAGTGATCAAGGTTTATATTTCAACATGTTGTTTCAAACCTTGGTTGTAACTTCCTTCTTTTACCTCTGTATCTTTGCCTCACCATGGAAAGGTGAGTTAAGCTCCAAAAATCTTTATGGATAAAGACAAGATATGCCAACAAGAGGCTTGATTTGACTTATTTATCAGTGCAGTTATTACAATTGCTTTTCTTTCATGTTGCATCTTGTTCTGGATTGTTTTAAACAAGAACTTGTCCTTGAAATTAAGAGTATTCTTAGCTACCGGAGAGCAGGGGAGAGTTCAGCAGTATTTTAATGGTATTACATGCTAAAATGATGGTTAAAAAAGGGGAGGTAATTTTTAGCCTCATCCCGAATGGCCCTTCATCGTGATAGTACCTACCGCAGCGTGTTAGCTTTAGATGGATGGAAGCAGACAGTCATGGACCTCGTTAGAGAACCTGAACCACAGGAAATGATGTCAGCACCACTGTGGGGTGCAGGATGAGAAGCTCATGAAGATGAAGCTTGGGGGGACTTTAGTGGGGCAAAGGGCGGCCAGCAAGGGCCCTCGGGGATGAAGCTAAGAGGGCTAAGAAAGGAGTCTTGATTCCAGCTGCCAAAGGCTTCATTAATTTGATGCTCTCTGGCTTTGACAACATAGAAGTCAACATAAATTAAACAAGGTTGGGCTAAACATAATTAAGGGACTAATCATAGTATTAGATGGAGAATTCGCCTCCCACCCCCAGGTGCAGGGGCTGAATCATTCTGAACTATCTCTTGTCTTTAGCTGGGAATCTAATGAACATCTAAGTTTTTAAAGTTGGGGGAAGATCAAAATGATGAAGTGAGTCACTCACTTTCCCCCTGTACAGGATAACCATTCTCCTCTCTGCTCTTGTACAGGCGACTCCTATTGCTCACCGTGACCCTCCCCTAGGGCTCAGCTCAAATGTCACACTGAGTCCGGATCAGTGCCACTGTACACCCAGAGAAGGGTGCAGCCCGCTCTTCCTGTCTGCTGTAGCCTTCTTGGTCAGCATCTCAGTAATATGTGTGTCTTCTTGTGTGGCTGAGGGAGGGAGGACTTGTGTTTGTTTTCATTCTCACATCCCAGTGGCTACCCCAGTGCACAGAGAAACTAGGAGCTTCAGCAGCATGGCAGAAATGGAGGCCAAGCTCTCAGAACACAAGGTGCTCACCAAAGCCAACCACAGGGGAGCAGCTTCATTTTGCAGACCTGGGGAGCGGCGGGTGGGACTGTCAGTCCCGTAGCTGTGGCTGTAACCCCTGCTCTCCAGCAGCCCATCTCCTGGCGAGAAGAGGGAAACCCAGCATGGGCTCGGAAACTTCAGCTTTGTGATGAGGCAGTGAGAACAGAAATCTGGGGTCAGGATGACTTAATCTTGTGATCATTGCTAAAACCAAGTACTTGAGTCCAGGTCCTTTATGAGGAATCCATGGTTATTTGGCTCACGGTTCTGAAGTCTGGGGACCACTCCAGTGTCATGCCCACATCTGCTCAGCATCTGGTGACCTGGAAGCTTGGTTGGTGGGATGGGTCTAGGTCAGGTCTATTTCTTCTTCCAGAGCTGCTAATGCCACTGAGGGATGCACACTCTTGACCTCCTCGAACCCTAATTTCTTCCTGAAGTCCTCACCTCTCAATTTCATTCAATTATGAATTAGAGATTAAGTTATTTTTTAAAATTTATGAATATGCATGGATGATCGTAATATGATGTCTTTAACTCTTTCAGGAGGTATGTAGAAGAGAAACAGATTGAATGGATTTTCTAATTTTTTGTTTTTTTGAGGAATTTCCATACTGATTTCAATAGTGGCTGTGTCAGTTTACATTCTCACTGACAATGCAGATGGGTTCCTTTGGGTGTTAATTTTTTAATTCATGAACTATGTTCAGACCACAGCACCTCAGGTATGCAAGAGAGTGGGCTTAGACACAGAGAGAAACAAGGATTCACTTGTCTTCTTTCTCTCTGCAGGTCCTGTTCTCGAACAACCCTCTAGCTTTATGGACCCCAAGGACTTGCTTAATGGCTCTGATCTCAGCCCAAGAAAGAATGTCATAGAGCAGATGTTGGTGCAATTTTGGATAAAAAAGAATCACAAAAGCAACACAGGACAGCACATAAAATCACATACTTGGAAAGGCACAGATTGACAAAATTTAGAAAACAGTAACATTTCATTATATAAGAGAATCGGGGCAGCCCCATAGGTGTTTATGTAATATAATTTGCCCATGATTTTCAAACCAGCAAAATCCTCTCTTAAATGTCCACATCATCCACCTTGGACTTCCTTTACATTAAAATATGTCCTATGTCTGTCTGGTCTCTTAGATCTCAGATAAGATTTTACTGAAATCAATCAAGTATGGTAGTCCCACTTAGATTTCCTTCATCTCATGAAAGATTACGGGAATTTATGTCTTAAGGCCAGAACATTGAAGATGTGCACACAAAAAAAGATATAATTACTGAAAGAAATACTTGGTAGCAGTAGGGTTAGCAATTTTGCTACATAAGCCCCCAGAATTTACACAAAGTTGGATCCTAAGTATAACAAACATTTAAAAATTATTGATTTTTCTAGAAAAAAAGGCTACTTGATTTCTGATTCTATTTCCATCCACTTTAGTGAAGGTAAAACTATTATGACAGAAAGCAGAATACTGGTCTCCAGGATGTTAGAGTGGGATGAACTGCAAAAGGGTGTGAAGGAAATTTTAGGGGTGATGGAGGTGCCCAATGTCATGATTGTGGTGATGGTAACATGGCAACACAAGTTTGGGAATCACACAAAACTGCACATGTAAAACGGAGTACTACTCAGCCATAAAGAATGATAAACTAGAGACATAGCTAAATGGATGCACATTGAGGCCATATTCTTAAGTGAAATAAACAGGACACACACGTGTAAATACCAAACTTTCTCTCTGGTGTGAGAAACTGAAACTGTAAATGAGAACCAAATTGTATAATAGACAATGTGAAGTATGAAGAAAAGGTTCAAAGGTGAAGGGGAAGTAGGGAGGGGTGTGGGGAAAAGGAAAGAAGGGAAAAATATGAGAAAAGAAGGAAAAAACAGAAACAAAGCTTTTGTAAATAGGGAGGGTTGGAGGAGTGGAAGGGAGGGGAAGGGAATGGGAAAAATAAGAACTAAGATATATTATATACAGGCACAAATTCCCAATGATGAATGTGATCTGTCAGATAAAAGTGCCGAAGACCAAGACCAGACCAGGCCACAACAAGCCTTTATTAGGGGAATAGATCTGCCGGGCTGTCTCTGAACAAAGGAGAGACAAAAGCAATATGGCCAGGGCAGGGAGAGTCTTTTATAGAGACAGGGGTGGGGTTTGTAGGGGCTGAGGCGGGGTTGAGTGAGGTAG